AAAAAAAAAAAAAACTAAAAAAAAAAAAAACAAGGAAGCAGATTTGCACACTGAAAACTATAAAACACTGCTGAAGGAAATTAAAGACAAAGACAAGTGGAAAGACACCCATGTTCATGGATTGGAAGACTTAATTTTGTTAAGATGACAATGCTATACAAAGCAATCTACAGATTCAATACAATCCACATCAAAATCCCAATTGTGTTTTTTGCAGAAATGGTAAAACCAAGCCTAAAATTCACATAGATAGTCAGGAAACCCTGAATAGCCAAAACAGTCCTGAAAAACAAAAACAAAGTTTGAAGACTCACATCTTCTGATTTCAAAACTACTACAAAGCTAAAGTAATCACAACAGTATGGGACTGGTGTAAGGATAGACATATACACTGATGGAATAGAATTGTAAGCCCCAAAATAAACCCTTACATGTACAGTCAATTGATTTTCAATAAGAGTGTCAAGGCCACTCAACAGGGAAAGAACAATTTCTTCAGTAAACGGTGCTGGGAAAACTGGATATCCACATGTAAAAGAATGAAATTTGACTCCTACCTTACACCATTTACAAAACTTAACTCAAAATCAATCAAAGACCTAAACTTAAGAACTAAAACTACAAAATTCTTAGAAGAAAACAAAGGAGCAAATCTTCATGACCATGGATTTGACAATGATTTCTTAAATATGATAAAAACACAGGCAACAACAAAAAATTATTAATTAAACTTCATCAAAATTTAAAACTTTTGTGCATTAAAGGACACTATCAAGATGAGTAAAAAGATAACCCATAGAATGGGAGAAAATATTTGCAAATATTCTATCTGATAAGGGATTAATATCTACAATATGTAAAGAACTCCTACAACTCAACAACAAAGACAACCCAATTTTTTAAATGGGTAAAGGACTTAAATAGACATTTCTTCAAAGAAGATATACAAATGGCCAATAAGCACATGAAAATATGTTCAACATCACTAATCATTAGGGAAACGCAAATCAAAACCACAATGAGATACCATACTTCACACTTACTAAGATGTCTATAATATAACACATACACACAGAAAATAACAAGTGTTGGAGAAGATGTGGAGAAACTAGAATCCTCATACATTATTGGTAAGAATGTAAAATGGTTCAGCTGTTGTGGAAACAATTTGGCAGTTCCTCCAAAAGTTAAACACAGAATTACCACATGACCCACAAATTCCACTCCTAGGTATATACCCAAAATAATTGAAAACAGGGACTCAAACATATACCTGTATGTCAATATTCATACCATTTTTCACAATAAACCAAAAGGTGGAAACAACTCACGTGTCCATCAATGGATGAATGGATAAACAAAATGTGGTATACATGTAAATGGAATATTATTCAGCCATAAAAATGAAGTGCTGACACATGCTACAACATGGATGAACCATGAAAACATTATACTAAGTGAAATAAGCCAAATAGAAAAGGACAAATATTGTATCACTCCACTTATCTGAAATATCTAGAATAGACAAATTCATAGAGACAGAAAGTAGATTAGAATTTACCAGGAGCAGAGGGGAGGGGTTATTGCTTAATGGGTACAGAGTTTTAGTTTGGGATGATGAAAGAGACCTGGAAATAGACAGTAGCAATGGTTGCACAACATTGTGAATGTAATTAATGCCACTGAATGATACACTTAAAATGGCTAATTTTATGTCTTATGACTATATTTTACTACAATAATAACAACAACAAAGGAAAACTGAAGTCCAGGAAACAGGTGATCCAACACCAAGAGACACAAAGAATTCACAGGATGATGACAAAGAGAAGTGCCAGGACAAGAGCAGCAGTGGTCTAGCAAAATCCGGAGCACTCCAGAAGCGGCAGGGGACCTGATAAATTATCTCACGTGGGATCCGTGGAACTGACGTCTGCTTGAGAAGCAGCCTGGAGGTTAAGTGTGTCACGTGAGTACTCCTTGCGTATCGTTTCTTACCCACATCAGCTTTAACCAAAATTCATTTCGTAAAATATTATATTGACTGATTTCTTTGTCCAGCACTATTTCAAAAGCCATGAAAGACACAAAAGAAGCACCGTTCTTGTGCACATGCAGCTCACACGCTTACTAAGACAATCCAATTCAGTAGTAATCATGGGATGCCCAGAAAGGATAAAAATAATCGAAACATCTAGGCTTCATTAACAGGGCTGAGTCCATTGTTCCTAGTGTTACTAACTCAAAAGGGAAGATGAAAAAGCCCTATTTAGAAAGCAATTTGAAATATTACACCTATCACGTAAGGAAGATCAGAAACATTCTTAAAGTACTACATTTACAATATAATGTTTACAATTGGGGAATTTTTAATTAATTTTAACATATTATATTACTCATATTATTACTATAATTAATTAATTTTATTTATATTATATTGTGAAAAATAGTCTATTAAAAGCAGTGTCCAAAATAGGCAGAATTATGTTGATTTTTTTATACTATACAAGTTGTAATCAAGTAATGTTATGCAAGTTTAAAAGAGACTATAAAACTTACTTGTTTAGACATATTTTCTGAAAATTTTGCTGATTTTTCTCTTAAAAATGTGACGAGGTCTTTATAAACTGCACCTTTTCTCTCATAGTTAATTTCCCCCTCATCATCTGTTTTGCCCTTGGGGAGAAAAAGTTTGGTGCTATTATGAATGTAATAGCAATATAAGATCCCAACCAACACATCACAACCCAAGCCCACGTATTGTTTTCTTCTCTAAAAGATCCATGTGGTAGTCTTTATACATGAAATGTATAGGCAAATCCTTTCCCCCTTAACTTAATGTTATTCATTCATTCATTCATTCATTCATTCAGCAAGCCCTTACTGGGTCCCTCCCATATGCACCTGGGGCGCTCTGCTATTCAGCAGAGAACTTAGAGCTTCCTTTCCTCTGCAGTCCTCCAATGTAGAAATGCATTATGACTTCAAGAACCTTTGATGAAGTCATAAAAGGCCTCAAGATTAGAATGTCGCCACAGAAAAGCCTGTTTCTCTTTGTCACACTCTGCTATTGTGTGTGTAGCACGGCTGCTCTAGGGTTATGATCTCTGTGTAACCATCTGTCCTCCACCCTCTGCCTCTCTCTTCCCTTTTGTCTCTTTCCCTTCCATTCTCCTGTTATTCTCCCCTAACCAATAAATAAACACACATAACTATAGTGTGTATATAATTGTACTATATATATATACACACACACACATAATTGTAGTGTGTTATACATTTTGTTGTAATTACTGAATAGTTTATTTTTTTTTATAATTTTATTTATTTATTTTTTCCCCCAAAGCCCCAGTAGATAGTTGTATGACATAGCTGCACATCCTTCTAGTTGCTGTATGTGGGACGCGGCCTCAGCATGGCCGGAGAAGCGGTGCGTCGGTGTGCGCCCGGGATCCAAACCCGGGCCGCCAGCAGCAGAGCGCACTCATTTAACTGCTAAGCCACGGGGCCGGCCCTACTGAATAGTTTCATGTTCCTTGTCTTTTATTTTTTTAAACTGAGAGGACTACTTAGATGTTCCCATACCAAATAAATTTGTATATTGATCGACAACCTTTGACAGAAACAAAGGCTCCTTGACCTACCCTAGGAGGTCAAAGAAAATCATTCCTTTTTGTAATCTCTTATGTGCTAGCTGGTGATTTCACTTTTCTAAAATATCAAAAAAAAAACAAAAGTAAAATCATACTTCGGTCGTCCCCCTCCTCTATGCAGAAATAAGCGGAGCGTCAGGCTGACAAGAAAGGCGTGTCAGAGGAGATACCTACGAGTAATCTCAAGAAAGCGGCACCCGTATTTCGATACCAACCCAAGCTAAGGTGTGACAACTGCCCAAGCAGTCCCCTGTGACAGCTGGGTCCCCATTAAGGATTCAGGTCCTCCCTGCAGAAGTTGGCTTCTGAGTCCCAAATTTACATCGAAGACACCAAGGACAGCGTGCTGCAGAGGAGCAAGCTGAGCTCCTTCTAGGAGGTTCAGTGAACAGGTATGAGACTAAAAATCAAGTGTTTTCATATGTTAGATTCAGAAGGCTATGTGCCGTTTCTCTCTCGGCTGGAAGCCCACCCATCCCCACTCTGCTTTGTGATACTTGGGCTAGGAATCTGGAAAACTGTGTTTCTCCTTTGCCAGGTTAGGTGAGCTTCAGTCAGCAGGGAGTGACAGGAAGACTGCAAGTCTGGAAGAGGGAGGAGGGACACGCTCCCTCCTGTTTGTGCTCTGTTCCTGCTACAGTCGCCCCAGTAACGGCCCCTCGGCCCTGGCAGTGGCAGTTGCTTCCAGTAGCAACAGTTGCTTCCAGTTCCCAGGTTTGCTTTTTTTTCCTATAGTCCCTGAACCAGGCTCATCATGCCCCCTCAGAAATACCAGCATCAGCCAACCAGGGCTCCATCTTCTAAGGTCTGGCTCTCAGCTCCGCCAGTTCTGCAAAGATCCTCCTCTGAGCTCCTGAGGTACCGATACTAACTGGCCAGCGCCCACTCCTCAGAGCTCTGGGTCCCAGTTTCATGGAGACCACCTGTGCTCCGAGAGGACCAGGAGAGCCTGGAAATGACCATTCCTCAGAGGTGTGGGTCCCAGTTCTGTGGGGGCCCCCTGCTCTGAGATCCTAAGGTACCAGAACAGCCAGGCAGTGGCCCCTCCCCGGACATCTGGGTCCCAGCTTCAGGGGGCACTTCCCCCAGGCCTCCATGTTGTGACAACCCTCCTCTTCTCTACGTTTCTTCAACTCTTAGGGCAGAAGCTGTAGTTATTGCTTCTGTGTTACCTCGGTGCTTCTTTTTCACCTTTTCTTTCCCTTAATACTTGTGTAACGGATTATGTTAAAGAGGTTTTCATTTTATAAAGTGGAATGGGTCCCTTTGAAGGCCATTTCTTAGAAGACTGACTTAATGATCTGCAAGGAGGAACACTGGGGCTAATTCTGAGACAACCCGGGATTGGCCCAGCAAACACATAGCAAAGGGATCTGCTTCAATCCCACAGAACAGTATTTCATTTTCTATGGTCATTGAGATTCAATCCTGGAGACGAGCCTGCATTTACAGAGGCCAAGTTAAGGACCAAAGTCAATACTGTTTTTAAAAAAATTACTTACACCATTCAAAAATACTCCTTCTGAGCTACAAGTAACACACAAAGTTTCAACATCATGTGGTTTCACCAGCACATAACAAATCTCCCCGTGAATTTGTCTCCAAGGTGGGGCTCGACATCCATTTGAAAATTCATAATCTGAAACCAATTATCAATCACTTTAGAGTTTTGTAAAATATGTTGGCTTAAAAAAAAATAAACATTATTGAAATTTTAAGTTTTCATTTTCTTAAATATTCAATTCTATTGTAGCTATTGAAGTATTTTGAAAATATAACTATGAAAATATAAACAACACAAAATGAATCTGAGAAGATACAAACCTGAGGTATAGTCGATAGATTCCAAAACTGTTTCTTCTCCTTTTCCTGAGAAACGTTTGAGCAGCTCTATATCATTCTTAAGAGTCGCTGGATTTAAACGTATTTCCCTGAAATACATGTTTAGAAATTCATTTTACGTACTTTAAAACAGAATCTATGGAAAACACGTGAAAACATTCCATTATATCAGGGGGAATATCTTTTTTGGTAATTAAAATTGCAGTTAAATTATAAACCAACAACAAAATTGTAGTTAATTTTAGCCAGGTTACAATCTTATAACTGTCAAAATGTCAAGAAATTAGTGACTCATGGTTAATGCAACATTAAATATACTCATTTAAGGATTCACTTCATTTCTTGATAATACTGTAATACTAGAAAAGACTACAAAAAGGAACAAGTTTTAAACCTTACAAACTCGACGTGATATTTAATAACTTATCTAATAGACTCAAGAGACTTCGAAAATAACAAGGTTACTTAATGTCTTCAGAATCAGATGCAACTCCACTAGAATGTTTTAGCCATGTTAACTGCAAACTTTAATTTTTAGAAGCAGAAATATCCGTGCAATAAACCAAAATTTTATTCCAATAAAATTTAATGTTAAATCAATAGCAATAACCTCCATACTTTATTTTTCTTGGGTTTTTTCTATAAGTGAAAGCACTTTTTGTAACTAATTTTTAGAGGTGTTTTTTAAAAAGAACTCACAATGAAATATGTTTTAGAGAATGATTGAGTAGGTGCAGATCCAGTTGCTTAAGCAGCATGGCAACCTTCATCTTAATCTCGCTTTCAGGATCACCATCTTTGATAATTTTATCAAGAATATTTAATGTAGATGAGTCTTCTTTCATTGTATCATAATCCAAGCCCAGGATTTTTGCTATGGGATTTCTGTTAGCTGACCAAAAAAGTAAATAAAAA